GTCTACGTGGCACACTCTGTGGTATTTGTTTCCTAGACAAGGTTTCCCTGAGAAGCCCGGGCTGCTGTCCTTGGACTTGCTGCCCTCCACCCCCGTGCACCGGGACAGCAAGCATGTGCCTCTCTACCAAGCCCTGGCTTGGCCTCTTAAGCTGCTCATCCTAGCACCCCAACTAAGTGCTGGCTTCAAAAACACAGACAGAGGGTGCAGACAGACCCCCCCCCCCGCCTGCAGCAGTAAGCAGACCTCTGCTCTGGTGGCCGAGATGGGTGGGGGCTGGGGACACACTGCCACTGCCCTGTGACTTCAACCTTGCCCCTTCTCTTTCACTTATCCTTATGGACCAAAACATTCTAATTCCTTCATCTCCTTTCCTTGGGAAAATCCTTTGATGTTTGGGCCTATCATTAAGGGGAAAGAAAATACTGGGGGGGGGAGCAAACAAACAGAGGACCCAAGCCAAGGTCCTGCAAACCCCACCCAGAGGCTTGCCCGTGAAAGGCAGGTTGCTTTACCACTGAGCTGTGTCCCCAGACTCAGACTGGCTTTGATTCCCGTCCCTCACATTGGATGTAGGGAGATGACAAGCATAAACTTATGGGTGGGAAAACTACAAAGAATTTTGTTTTCTTTTTAGTGCTAGAATTGGAATTCAGGGCCTATTAGGCAGAATCACGACCACTGAGCCCCAGCTCAGTGCTAGGAAGGGGATTTAGATAGACCATACAAGAATGGATCCCTCTGTGACACCCTGTGACTGGCTGGCATCTGGCAGGAAGCACAGGCTTGGTAGGAAGGGAGGGAGGGAGGAGAGGAAAGAATGTGCTCTGTTTCAGGGGCTCCCGGGGGCTTTGACCTGAACAAGCACAAAGAGTTGAAAACAGCCTGGCCTCAAGGCTGCTGTTTGTCCAGGGTCTTTCAGACCCATCTGCCCGAGAGCACAGAGACACCCTCAGGCCTAAACTGCACCCCCAATTCTCTGGCCTAAGAACTGGGTTTGGTAGGCAGGTCCTACCAAAGGAACTGTCTCCTGGGGCTGGAGCCAAGCCTGGGGCCTCTACTCTGCAGGCAGGAACAGCTCCTGCTATTATTAGTTGTGCAACTACGAACGGCACAATAGCTATTCTCCAGGATCTGAACCAAGTGCAGAGATGCCTCAGAAGAACCCCAGAAAGGGGGTGTCGTCATCCTCATTTTATAGATAGAAAGACTAAACAAAATGAAAGCCAGAAAACCATACAAACAAGGCTCAGAAAGCAATCTGCCCCCCCCCCTTTTTTTTAAAAAAAAGTTACTTTTCTCAGGGTCCCAGAATAGAGCACCTGCAGATTTTAAGGGAATACCAAAATAACTCAGCAACAACAACAAAAAAAATATTTAAAGTGCAATTATTTAAAATAAAGAGTTAAAATACGGGATGGATAAAATCAACATCTTAAATGAAGATTTGCCTGGGTCAGATTCCAGTTCCTCTGGCCTATTCTTGAGTCCAAACCACCTGGCCCCATTCTTCCGTGACTTCAAAGCCTGAATGAGGGCTGTTTATATACATTAACACAGACCTCAGGGGCATTCCGGAAACACAGAAACATCTCTGTGTGGCTCAGCCTTCAGAGCCAGGTAATCAAAAGGAGCAGGAACAAGCCGGTGTCCAATCCCGGGGCTGAATGGTGCTGGGGAAAGAGGGAGGGAGAAGAGGGGCGGGGTGGGGAGGTGGGGACGAAGGCAGGACTAGGATGCATCCAGGTCTAGCCCTGACCCAAAGTCAAGCCTAGGTCTGAGGCCCTTGATGGAGAAGCCTGTGGAATCTACAGCTATGCTGCCTCATGACAGCCACAGGCCTCTCCCACCTTAGGAGAAGAAGGCTCTGTTTCTGCCTTTGTATAAAGGGAAACCTGAGCCCCTAGCCGGACAGACAAGTTCAGAGGCAGACAGGGGAGCCAGTTTCTGAAGCTGCATCCTTACACCTGCCTGGCCAGGTCCCACCTCTCTGGTGGGGTGGTCTTGGATTTTGAGGGGCTCTGGATCTATGAAAGGCATTCTCAACACGAGAGAGGGGAGCGTGTGAAGACTGGAATTTGAAACAAGGAATTGCTAGAGCAAGTGGGAATCTGGGAGAAAAGATCTGGGGGTCCAGAGTGGGAAGCCTGAAAAGGGGGATTTAGATGCTGGGGTGACAGCGCTGGGTCCTGGGGTAACACTGACTAGTCCCATAGAAACGTTTCTCAGATTACTCCATTTCCTTTCTCCAGTCCCCCAAATCTTAGGGAGGGGCCGAGAAGTGCTGGGGGGTAGGTGCTGGGGTAGCAGGCTGACCTCCTACTGTACACTGCATAAGTATATGGGGTGATCAGAGAGGCTGGGAAACCTGCAGAGGCTCACACCCAACCACTTAGGACCTCGGAGTCCTGACTCTCCTCCCTGACACACAGGCTTCCTTGTTGACAAGTGCATTGGATCCAGGCTTTCTGAACCACTCAGGAAAAATTTTCCCTATTTCCTTTCTGGCTGCTTCAAACAGGCTGAGATCAAGAACCTGTCAGATATGGAGGCTCGAGGAGTACCTCTGGTCACCACCCTAAGTTGGAGAGAAGCAGGCACGCGAAAGAGGGCTAGACCCTAAATTCCAAATGAAACATCTCATGAAGCATGTTTTATACTGTTATAGATTACAATAATTCAATACTATCGATGTTATAGTAACTGCCTGTTAAATGTTCTTGGGCCTCCGTGAGGCATAGGGAAAGCAGGCTAAGGCTGCAAGAGCTTGAGTCCTGGCCTGGTTTATTTTTCCCCTTGTCTTAAGAGGGATCTGACTTTCCCCTCTGCCTGCTTGGGCTCTGATCTGTGACCTATAGGCTTCACTTTTGTTGGATCCGAGATCCCTGAGTTTAAGACTTGGAAGGCTGGCTAGGGCAGGAGCTGCTAGGAGCCCTGATGGGAAGCAGAGGAGGCTGGAGACTGGTATCTACAGAAACCTCAGCTCTCTGCTGGCCGGCCATGTCAGCAATGTTTACAGGCTTCGAAAGGGTGGGATTTCAGCGATTCATGTGAGCTTAGGGTGCTAAGAAAGATGAGGGTCCTTCTGAAATGAGAAGCAGCGAAGGTGTATGCTACCGGCGACCGAGGAGGGACCCGCCTGCTGCAAGAGAGAAGCCCAAGCTGGAGACTAGCAAGGAAGGCCCCGAGACTCCGGCGGCGGCTCACGGTGATTTATGACTTTTTCCCCCATCCACCAAACAGAAAAGAAAGACAAGCGAGGCCCAGCGGGAGGCACCCAGCACAGGGGCCGCTGAGGTCCGGCCGGGGGCCCCCGCCCTCCCGTCTCCCCGACAGCTTGCAGCCGAGCCTGGCCCTCCGCTGTCCCCCGGGAGCAGCGGGTCCTCTGCTTCCAGACCGGCCGGTGGCGAGGCCGCTTCCAATCTGCCAGGGAGAGCAAAGGGAGAGTGCGGGGGAGCGGGGCGCGAGGCCACCACCAGCCCAGTCCTGGAGAGGACGAAGTTTCCGTTCTGCGCTCTGCAGAGGGGCCACTCTCGGCCCTAGATCGCGTTTGCGGGATGCGGCGCTGAGCGATTCCATGGCGGTCTAGGATGCCAAGGCGGATGAGGGACTCTAATAGCTTCCCAGGGACTCGGGGCTTGGGGTAGGAGTGCATCTAAAAGGGCAGTCTGGGTTCAGCGAGCTGCTGGGGAGGCGACTCTGGCCTTGGGTCCCTGCTGCACAGGTGCTCAGCTCTGCTCCCTCGCAGACGAGGGCACAGCCCATCCTGGGGGGGAGTGCAGAGAATCCAGGCCCCCACCCGCTGCAGTTACTTTGGGGTCTTGGGCCCCCGGCACTACCAGAGGCTGACCCCAAAAAGCCGCAGAACTAGAGCGAGGTCGGGAGGGTGAAGCGGAAAGCCTGTATTTTCATTTTCAGAACTGCCTTGAAAATAGAACCCAGGCTGGCCACGGCTGGGTGCTGACTACCAAGCTGGCCTTAGACATCTTCGTCATCTTTGTGCCAGCTCAAAACTTGCATTGTCCTGTCTAGAGGTACATAACACACACACACACACACACACACACACACACACACACGTATCGAAAGCCACTAGCTTCTCAGGACATAGCCCCAGGGAGACCACGGGCTGGGGATGAAAAGGTCACCACCTTCTTTGTTTCTTCAGGCCATAGTCATATCCGTGGGTCCCCTTAACAGTCTAGACTTGATCTTTCCCACGGCTCAACTCCTGCCTCCGAGTAAGGCAGCACTCGGTCTCTTCTCTGAAAGACATCAGGCTTAACCTTCTGCTCCAGGACAGCAGGCCCAGAGGCCAGGAGAGGATTGCATGGTTGTGTGTGTGTGTGTGTGTGTGTGTGAGAGAGAGAGAGAGAGAGAGAGAGAGAGAGAGAGAGAGAGAGAAAACCCAAGCAAAACATCCCGAAAACAAAAATTTTTATTCTTTCTCATACTAGGACGGGGACTTCCTATACAGGCAAGTCTTTTCTCCATTGGGTTTTGCTGCCTTTCTGTGGGATGAGGAAGAAAATTGGGAGGTAGAATAGGAATTTACGGAGCGCGGTTCAGTGGAGTAGCTCGAATAATTGTGGACAGGCTCGGGAGAAGGCTTTCAAGGCAGCTCATCCCAACTACAGGCCACGAAGCTGGCCCTCCCAACGGCCCCTGCCCCCCTCGGCTAATCATCTTCATTAGGGGCCTCATCGCCGATCTAATGAAGGCAAACTGTGTGGAAATCGCCGGTAAACAGTTAGGTCTGCGCTGTAATTAATTCAGTGTCTCTTTTAATCAAACTGGAAAAGAATCGGGCAGTGGCTTGTGGAGCCGTGACATCACCCCCAAAATCGGCCGGAGCCAATCAGCGTCATCACTCCGGGGACACGTGGGTGAGTCCCCTTTTAAAAAAAAACACAACACAACGAAAAAAAAAAGAGAGAGAGAAACAAAAAAAAAAAAGCTAGCCCCAAAGAAAAAGTGACACAAGTTCGATTTTTTTTTTAAAGGAAGTGGGGGGGCGAAGGCAAGCGCTGAGGACAGGTGAGGAGCTGCAGTGGGAGCCGCGGGGCGCTGTCCACGGTGCTGACGGGCCCTGCCGGGGCCCAGCGCTCACGTAGGATCTCCGGGGCCAGGTGGAGCTTCCCGATCCGCAGGCCTCGGCCGCTGTCCGCGGTGCTGAGGCCTCCAGGTGCGCTCTGTTCTGCGTGCCCGTAGCGCGGCCCCGGCCGGCCGCTATCCGCCCTGCTGACCCCTACCCTCGGCTACCTTTTGCCTGGAGCAAGCGTGCGGTTTGGATTTTGCTTTTTAAAAAAGACGATCTTGATTCAGATTCCAACAGCCTCGCACTTCTTCTGTGCCAAAGGGGCCCTCAGGCCGTTCTTCTACCTTTTGGCTCTCCCCAACTTGGTGCGCCCTCCTCCCATTCCTCCCTGACACTCCCACCACCACCCCCCCTCGGCTCGGCTGCTCGGTGCTGCAGAAGACGCGTTGAACCCTTTTGGATGTAATGCGCAGAGGAGGTTGGCCCAGAGCTCCCGGGCTCCCCCAAGGCTGAACTCCGTCCAAGGTGCCCACAGGCTCCCTGCCCGCCTTCCCCATGCCAGCCCGCAGCTAGGGGCAGGGGCAGCGGCGGCTGGGGTTGGGGGTGGGTGGGGAGCTTTTGGGGAGGACAGGTCGCAGTTTGGCTATGGAAGGCTCCAATGGCTTTGGGATTGACTCCATTCTCTCCCACCGAGCGGGCAGCCCCGCCCTTCCCAAGGGGGACCCCTTGCTTGGGGACTGCCGTTCACCCCTGGAGCTGAGTCCACGCTCAGAGAGCAGCAGCGACTGCTCTTCGCCAGCCTCACCTGGAAGAGACTGTCTGGAGACCAGTACCTCGCGGCCCGGTGCTGCATCCGGCCCAGGTTTGGACTCTCACCTGCAGCCGGGGCAGCTTTCAGCCCCAGCCCAGTCGCGAACCGTCACCTCCTCCTTTCTGATCAGGGACATCCTTGCTGACTGCAAACCTCTCGCGGCCTGTGCACCCTACTCGAGCAGCGGGCAGCCTGCAGTCCCTGAGCCTGGGGGCCGCCTTGCGGCCAAGGCCGGGGAGGACTTTCGCGACAAGCTGGACAAAAGTGTCAGCAGCGCCTCGTCGGACTCTGAATACAAAGGTAAGAAAACAAGGTGAAAACGGCGGCGGCGGCAGGGGTGGGGTGTTTCTAAAACGTGACATTTAAAACTTGAGAACACACACTTGGGGACAGACACATAGTCATCTTGGGGTTCCCCCAGGCCCAGGCTGAGAGTTGGTCTTATCTCTAGACCTCTCTGTCAGCCCCAAGGTTGGACCCTGGAGCAACAAAGAGTTCAGAGTGTGTGGCCCGGAGAAGCTGAGGGGGACAGTGTGTAAGGGAGAGTAAGCCTGGCCAGATATACAAAGCAAACTTTCTAAGTTCCTTACTGGGACCACAACCTCTCAACCAGGTCTGCAACAGTGCGAAGCTTCTTCGAGGACACTGTTTTGTCGGACTGGAAGCCTGGCAGAAAATTCCTGCCAGAGCCTTCTACAGCAGGAATCTTTTAGCCTTTAATCTGAATTTCCCAGCAAGAGGAGAAAGTGGGCCTCCCCACCCATTGGGGAGTGTAGTCTGAGGCATGAACCTGTAGATGAAGAGATCCGTTTGAAAGAGGAACAGGCAGCCTGGCCAGCTGGCTAGACTGGGTTCTGAGGTCCGGTGGAGGGGAAAGGAGTCCACAATCCACGCAGAAACTCTCTCTGAATGGGGTCTTACTTCAGTAGTGACCACCAGAATGTCTTTAGGACCTACAGATTCCTGAGTGACAGGCCTGGTCACTCCCATTTCCACTTTGGGAGTCTTTATGGTGGCTCCCTTCTCATTCTGTCTTAACTAAGGCTCCGAGGTGGCGTTTAAAAGAAAGGGGAAGGACGAGAAGAAAGAAAAAGAAGAGGAGGGGAGGGAGAAAAGAAAATGTTCTTTAGTTTTGTTTTTTATCTTTGGGCTCCACTCTGACTTTAGCTGTTATTAGGTCCAGAGGCTTGAAATTCTCTCCAGGAAGACGTTAGGTGGCAAAGGGCCTGGGTGTCACAGGGAGCAGGGGATAGAGCTCTCTGCTAGCCAGCAGGAAACTGGGGCCTGGTGGAGACTGTTCCTGGCTTTGTAACTATTAACTCCCCAAACCTCTCCCTTGAACCAATACTCTGCTATAAAGTCAGCTTCATTGCTGCCTGCATCTCCTGGTATCCATTTGTGCTGAATTTCACAACTATTTAGTTAGGTTCACTTAATTCTTCCTCCCAACCAAGAATTCCTTTGAGGGTTGACCTGAACTCCAGACTGAAACCCCTCAGGGGTCCTAGCCCAGGGCTCACTTCTCTCTTCTTGCCCCAGTGGAAATGGTTAGGCCTCCTTCAAGCAGGTCATGGACCCATCATCTCTAGAAAGGCCACAGCTTCAACCACAGTGCTCAGGAAGAGGTCTAGAGGCCTCAGCAGCCCCCCCACCCCTACCTGTTTAGAGCAGCAAAGAGAACTCACCTTGAAGAAAAGTGTGTGAGTGAAAGGCAGATATAATGTGCCACATTGTGTGTGTGTGTGTTATTCCTTACAATTCACAACCATCTCTACCTAGCTTCATGGTTAGAGCGAAGAGCAATCTGGTCCAGCCCTGCCTGTACGAACAGCTGCCTCCTTTTATGTTTTTGCCCCTAAGCAGGATTTTGAGGAGAGATTCCATTTCGTTTAAGATAATTGGAATATCAATTTTCTTCTCCTGTCCCTGATGATATCTGAGCAGGGAGATGACGAGGGAGCCGAGAGCCGGCTGTCTACTTATCACTTAAACAGCTTCGGAGCACAAGATGCTGCAGAAAGTTCCAGCCACCTCCAGGCATGGGCTGTTGCTTTTGCACTTTAAACATTCTGAAGTGAAAGTGTGTGTGTGGGGGGGGGGGGCACGCACAGGCAGAGCAAAGCGGTGCCCAGCACGTTCCTCAAACAGAGGTGACTTTTGCAGAGTTAGGAAGCTGGTCTGAGAGACAGACACAGGAACCAGGAATTCGCCGTCAAGCCACAGATTACGCCAAGGACAAAATGAGGCAGGGGTAGGGGACAGGCCAGTCCCATCCCAAGTTTCTGGCGTGAAAGGTTTCTTAAACAGTGTTTACTACAGTTGGAGGAGGGCTTTAGAGGTAAGGCAGGTGGCAACAGGAAACTGGCTGGAGCCCGGGTTCTTGGAGAAACCAAACCAGGGCTTGACGCCACACAGGAAGGGTCTCTAGTCCTTGGGCTCCAGACTGATTGGATGCAGGTCAAAGTCTGAGAAATGGACACCAGGTAGACAGAGTCAGACTGAACTAGGTGAGTCCCAAAGGCTCCAGCAGAGCCAGAAAGGACTAAAGTCAAACGAAACAACAAACAAACAAACAAAAAACAAGTGGTTGGCCAACCCACCAGAACGAGGGATTGTTATGAGTTGTCCAAGTAATTAGGGGGCAAAGTGAGATTTCTGCAATATCAAGTTTGAGGCTTGAACAAGTATATGCTCTAGGCTTTCCGGAGAGAAAAGTCATCTTTATCCCTGAGGGTTCCGAAGCCTCCCAGCAGTGGCAGAAGGCTGAAGGCCGTCTGGGACAGTTATTCCAAGACTCCGGTGCCGGTGCCGGGGAGCTGGGGCTGCTGGCTCCCTCCCTGCCGGGAAGCACGGCCTTTCCGGCTGAAAAACCTCCTCCCCAGTGGCTCAATTAACCGGATTATTGTTTCCTACAGAGAGAAATCACCTCTCATTCAGCTGAACCCTGTCATGGCAAACGCCAGGCACAATGAAACTCCCTATAAAAGAATATAAAGAAAGCAGGCGGTAGGTGGGCGGGAGCCCCAGCTCAAAGGGTCATTTTGGAAGAAGTCGACTATTCCGACTATTCCGTTCCAGTGTCGCCTTAAGGCGATGGGAATGCCAGGCTCTTTCGATTAAATGTGTTTTCTGTTAAGTCAACCTCCAACGAAAGTAGAGGAAAATGAACTAATCCAGCTCTGTCCGGTCCACGGTGGACCTCAGGAGCGGGGAATAGATGTCCATTTGCCTGACCACAGGATCAGGAGGGCTGTCCACAGAATCGTTAGGCCGGTGGGGTGGGAGCCACAGCGGGCACAACGAAGCCCAAGCCCCGACTTCTGTGATACACACAGCCCTTCGTGCCTAGAGATGATGTCTCCCAGCGCTTGGTGCTCACAGATGCCCGCACCCTGCCTGCCTTCCACCCGCATAGTTCGGAGTGGTCTAGGAATCCTTCGCTATAGATTCCTGGCCAAACCGGGGTCGGTGAGGCATGACCACAATTATCTGCTCTTCAGGAAGATGGGGTGCTGAGGAGCGAACAGGCTTTTGTTTCTCCATGCGGGTTTTGCTCCCAAACGCAGAGCCCACCACCCAAACGCTTTCTCGGCCAGTGGCAGACTAGGCCAGTCTACTCTGAGACTGGCTTTCTCTTTCCCAGTGTGTGTGTGTGTGTGTGTGTGTGTGTGTGTGTGTGTGTGTATGATTGGGGGGAGAGGTTGAGTTTTCTTCTGGGAGCTGCCAGCGGCTCTGCCCCCGGGCACTTCCTAACACCATTTCCTCCTCACTCACTGTTCACACCCTTCTTCTGAGGGCAGGCAGCTCTGGCACCGACGGAGTCCCTGTGAGTTTAATACTTTGGGACCCCAGAAGTCTGCGGCTTGTCGAGTGGGGAATGGGGTCACGAGGGCGCAAGCACTACCGATCCCTGACGTGACCTCTGTGTCTCCGCAGTGAAGGAGGAGGGCGACCGCGAGATCTCCAGCTCTAGGGACAGTCCCCCTGTGCGCCTGAAAAAGCCACGAAAAGCGCGCACTGCCTTCACCGACCATCAGCTGGCGCAGCTGGAGCGTAGTTTCGAGCGGCAGAAATACCTGAGTGTTCAAGACCGCATGGAGTTGGCTGCCTCGCTCAACCTCACTGATACACAGGTCAAGACCTGGTACCAGAACCGCAGGTGAGGTTTCGCTGCAGGGCGGGGTCTGTAGGGGTCTTTTTCTGGAGCCTTAGGTCTCTCTCATTCCGTCAAAGAAGGGAAACTGAGGCTCTGCGAAAAGACCTTGCCCTAAGTCCCACAGTGAGGGGCAGAAAGAACACTGGACTGGCATCCAAGACAGGTGAACCGGCACCGAGGTTAATAGAGATTTGAGCCTTGCTCCACCCCAGCCCATGTCCCCAAGGAACCAGGCTAAGTCTGGGCTTTGAGGCCTCTGAGTTCTTCTTTAGGGAAGAGTGGCAGCCAAGTCTCCAGAAAGCAGAGAGGTCCTGAGGTCGTTGTAGTAGGGGCCAGTGGAATCCTAGCATTTATAGTCAAGAGGAAGCTGGGTGAGAGAGACTGGGAAATTGATATTAGGGCACTGGTCTTGAACCTGCTTCTTAATCTCTTTGGACATCCACAGGACTTAAATACACTGGTAAGACACACGTGCACAGACATGTCAGTCTGCATGGTGGCATGCTCTCCCACACACTTAGCAGAGGCAGGAATGGCGCTTTCCATAAACAAGCCTCAGAATACACAGCCCCATTAATAATAAATATCGATTACGGCTTCAGGCATCAATAATTAAGGCTCGTTGCAGTAATTACACAATTATGACGACGAGGAATTATTCAAGGGGGGAAAGGGGCTAGTGTGACTGAGCCCACCTTCTGGAACCCAGGCAGGCACGCCCAACCTCACCCCAGGTGAGTGCAGAGGTCTCAGGCTCACTTCCTCACTTGCTCTACGTAAGAGGGAATTGGGACTGGCTAGCCCCAGACCTCAAACCTAGGTGGCCTGAGTGTAGGCCAAGTATAGGCCTGAGTGTAGGCAGAGCTGAGAGAGAAAGTGGGCATTCCTCCAGAGAAATTTCTGCTTGGAGTCCCCTGGGCCTCTGGAGCTACCCTCCCCCCTCCCGTGAGCGGGGAGTTGGCTACCCGGTAGTCAGCTCTACCACCCTTTCTGTCGCTCCACTTTCATTAGGCCTTCCCAGGGGAATCATATCCTGAGGGTATCCCGACCTGTAAATTTGTATATGCACTTTGAAGTCAGGCAATCTGGCTTGGAGCAGGGATCTGCCTGCTACTTGCAGATCATCATGAAAACTGTCCCACGCCTCAAGGTTTTAATCTGTAAAATGGGGACAACAGTCACGGAAAGCCAGTGGAAGGGAAAATGATGCACGATTCATTTGACCTGGGCACTCGATTGTTTATTAGCAAATTAGTATGCTCCCTGTTGGACACCCTGCGGCTCTCTGTGCCAATCACTAGGAAGGAGCAAGGGTTGTGGAGTGTCCTAATCCTGACACCTTCCTCTCTGCCTTGATTTCCGTTCCCAGGACTAAATGGAAGCGACAAACGGCTGTGGGGCTGGAGCTGCTGGCGGAGGCAGGCAATTACTCGGCGCTTCAGAGAATGTTCCCGTCGCCTTATTTCTACCCACAGAGCCTCGTTTCCAACCTGGACCCGGGTGCCGCGCTCTACCTGTACCGCGGCCCCAGCGCGCCTCCGCCTGCCCTCCAGAGACCTCTGGTGCCCCGTATCCTCATCCACGGACTCCAGGGAGCCAGCGAGCCGCCCCCGCCGCTGCCCCCGCTGCCCGGCGTCCTCCCGCGCGCCGCGCAGCCTCGGTGAGGCGCCCTCTCGCCCCAATCCGTGCTCCGGGACCCCCAGCTCAGGCTGGGCCCGGGTCCGTACCGTCGCCCCGGGGCAGGGCAGCCCGGCTCCTCACGGTGCCGCAACCCAGTGTCTCCCACGGGGATAACTTCACTGAGGCTACCCCTCCCTCAGCTGCGTCCTCTTTCCTGGCTTCTCCACCCCGGAGCCACTTTCACCTGCCAGATGTACATACGCGCTCCTGCCCACCTCCCACCCAACTCCAAGTCCCTGCGGGCTTCCCTAAGTACCCCTGTCCCCTAGGCAGCAGGTAAGGGGACGCCGGCGACTGGCTCTCTCTCGTGTCCCAGCCTTGGGTCCACCCTTCTTCCCGCACCTCTGTGAGACAGGGTGGGAGTGCTGTACGGAGCTTCCCTCCCAACTCCTTTATTTTCCCCGAGACCCGGGCTGGCGGCAGAGCTGTACAGTGTGCAAAGTGTATATGAAGTTATTTATTCGTGATCCATGAGCCCGTGACAGTGTCTGTGAATCAGTGAGTCTGTGGCCTGTGCCCTCATCGTCCCGGGTGGGGCAGGAAGGGGCCGAGAGTGCTTGCCCATGCATCCGGGCCCCCAGCCCCCCTCCCCTCCACCCAGGTCCGGGGCAGCCAGGCCTCTTGGGTTCTCTTTTTTAAATGTGGAAATAAACTTCTTACAAATGACCAGGCGCCTGTCCGCGCTACCTTCCGTTGGTTCCCACTCAGGCCCTCTCCCACCCCATCCTTCATAAGAAACTTCAGCATCTTACACTACATTTCCTTCTATTCGCAAAAAGTAGTTTTGTCTCCCCCTTGCCCTGTTCCCCGGTTCCTGAGTGCTGTGGTCAAGCGCAGGAGACCCCGGCTGGACTTCCAGGGGGTCTCCCCGTTTCCACATCGAGGCGAGCCTGTAGCTCTCGGCCTCCCCATCTGATTCGTTCCGCTTCCACATGGGGACCACGGGCGAGGCCAGCGCCTGGCCTCCCTCTGCTGCGTGTCAGGCCACGAAGCACTCACTGAGCCGACTCATCTGGCTCAGACCGGGGCGCCGGCAGCTGGTGACCGGCCCTGCGGGCCCGGGGCAGACAGATGGACTCCGAGGCTGCTCCCTGTTGCCCCACCCTCCTCGGCCCGGCGCCCTCCGCTCTGGCTACCCGCAGCTCCTAGTCTCTTAAGCCTGGTAGGACCCCAAGGGCCTTCCTGAGATTGACACCCCGTCGAGCAACCCTTTACTCTCCAACCTCTACTCCCCGCGCGCCCCAACCTTGGGAGAAATAGGGGCGGGGGAGGGGGCGGATCGCACCACCCGCCTTCGAGTCAGACTCCAGAGCACGTTCAAAGGGCCAAGGTCACCTCCTGACATCTTCGGTCTCCCTGGACGTGGACGCAGGTGCTACCCTCCCCCACACCACCTGCAGCACACTGACTTTCAAGGCGGAAGAAATGCCGGGGAGTTTGGATGCTTGCAAGCAAAGGACCCTCCCAGCATTTCTGGCCCAACTGTTGGGGAAAGAACCTGGCAATGGAGGGAGGGGCGTATCCAGAAAGCCCCCCCCCCCCAACCACAACTAGTTCGGCTACTGTTTCCTCCCCACCCCCCAGCATCCTCACACCCAAGCTTTTCTTTTATGGGATGGTGGGGGTATTATTCTAATTTTGCAAAATGCACAGCAGCTAATTAAGTCAAGGAGCCCCTCGGCTTTCAAGTTCTTTTGCATGTGAATGCGGGTTAGTAAATCCCTCGATCTGGCTGTGGTGGGGTGTGAGGGGGGACTGTCCCCAACTCAGGGTTAATGAAGTGGGAAAGAAGTCTCTCATAGCCTCCTGCAAACAAAACCCCCCAAGCAACAAACCCTGCCCAAATCCTACACGGATTGACTTAAACCCAGGGGATAAGTGCTTTAAATTAATCTCATTGAATAAGAATGAGACCAAACAAAACTCTTTAAAATCATATTAAAAATCTATCAAAGGACAACTTGCGCTGGTGTGCTTTTCATTTTGTGAGAGTGGAGGAGGCAGGCTAGAGCAGCCACCCTCACATTTACACAGTGCAGTGTAAACCGCAGACACATTCTGACTATGTAATTGTCCTTGTACCGCAGAGGCGATTTCATATCTTACATTAATGAAGAACAAGGCTTCCCTACAAGTTTATAATTACAATATTTTAAATTGTCCTGCACATCCCATCTGTAATAATAACTCCACAACCTCTGCAGTGAGGTGGGCTTGAGCTTCCCATCCATTTAGAAGGCTAAATTGGTTTCTCTGTTCCTAACCCAGGGGCTGGGTGCCCTCATTTAAAACAGAAAAAAAGAATGAATGACCGTGAGAGACCCCCAGTGGACCAATCTAAATCTGGACTCCTAAGGGTGGGGACAACCAAGTTTGAGGTTAGCTTTTTCAGCTAGCCCTCAGCTACGTGGCTTCTGGAACCTGGGTGGTTTTTTTGTTGTTGTTTTGTTTTATTGGGGGCACTACCCTGACAACTTGGCTCTATTTTTCTATGGTCCAGCAGAGCGAGAAAGTTTGAGGTCGTGGAGGCAAACTGGAAAAGCCTGTTGTTAATCACTCTCAATCAGGGAAACTTGTCACTGGAAAGGCCTGAAGTTTCCATCTCTGGAAGTGGCTTCTGCTGGCTGTGGGAAGTGCTGGACCCAGCCACTTGCAGCTTAGAATCACTTGTACCCCAAGGCACACCCCCCTCTTATGTTCCAGGCAGGAGAGAAATCAAAGCAGCCCTCTGCGATCAGAACTGTCCTCAGCTGGGCTCTGTTTGGCCCCGCTTCTGTGGGAGTGGAGGACACCACCCGTGGTGTCCCACTGCAGACAGCTGCTCCAGGGCTCCTTGCCCTCCAGTGGTGGCTCTTCACAAGGTGGACAGCAGCTGGGCTGCAAATGGGGAAGGCTTGGGTCCCAAAACAAGCACTCTCCAGCACAGCACTCCATTTGCTGTCTGAATCTCCTGAGACTTTAATATGGTAACCAGGCTGATGTGAGAAAAATGCCAAGTCTGGGACCTTAGAAAAAGGTATGATTAAAAATACACACAAAATCAGACTATGTACACTGGAATCAGGCTGACATTGTGTACAACTGGTACCTGGGATGTACATCCTATAAAGATCCATAAGAGATTCATTTTAAGGTTGTTTAAATTTAGAGAACATTAACCCTGAAGCTGCCGAGTCTATTTCCTGATGACTGCGTACTGTGTTACCTAAGCAGCATGTCCACCACCATCTCTGACAAGACAGCCTTGTTAGCTAGAAAACTACAAGTGTAAATTCCAACTTTGTGATCAGAGTCACTGTAACTTCAGTAAGGGGCCTGTTGCCGGGAGGCAGTCACAGGTTTTTGCGTAGCCATCCCTGATTACAGGCACTAATCCTGTTTTCACACAGCCGGTTGACTCTTCATAGTCTGATCCCTCATTTCCCAACGAAGCAAGTGAGCCATTATAAACCCAAAGAAAGGTGGCCGATTTGTCCAGTCAGCTCCACACCTGCTGCAGTTTCAGAGGACCTTACAAATGTCACCACAGGCCCTGAGTCTGTGACTGCCAGTCTTGGCAAGGCTGCAGTGTGGGTGTTAACTGATCTTCCTCCCCACAACAGCCTCCACCCTGCCAGTCTCAGGAGAGGGGCAAAGTGTGCAACACTTGCCCTAGGGCTTCAGAGGGTCTAGCAGGGCTGGGAGCACAGAAACCCTGAGGAAAGCAGGCCCAGAATGGTGTCTGAACAGAGCATGCTGTGCCTTAACCCTTTCTCTCGTGAGTCCTCTGTAATGTCCAAATCTTACATTTATTGGGAAATCAATACACTCCAGGGGTCCTTTCAAAGCTTCCAGAAACACAATGGCATGTGGGGGTTCTGGGTCTAGGTGACAACACAAAGACCTCAGACCCTGAAGAGAAGACAGGCTCCGGAGGGAAAAGGCAAGCTCGGGTGCTGGTGCCTTTAGACTTCAAAGGCAGATAATAAAAAGGCAACAGTAAGTCAATTAGCCCAGAGACAGCAAGTCTTCTGCGGACATGAAAGAGGAAGCAATGCACATGGGGCTATAGCGTGTTTACGGAAGAAAGCGGTGCCGCTGCCAACACATTTGGTTTTTGATCCAAAGCAAAAAGTTCTCTCGGCCCTTCCTGACAGAGCATGTGGACACTAAGAAAATAGCTATTCAACAAATACTTTTATCCTTTTGAACAAGTTCAATTCCAGTTTTTAACATTCCATCTTACAGCACTCATGCAGTACACTTGTGGCAGCTTCATCTGACAAGCTCGCCAGGAGCCATACTCTTCCAGGCTGATACACACGATGCTTTGCTGTCCCTGTGCAGTCTCACAAGAGGGCTGAGCAAAGGCAGGTGACTCTCTAGTACTGGTCCCTGCCTGCTGGTTTCCATCAAGGCTCCTCCTCCAACAGCGGAAGGTCTGTGTTCAGGAAAAGGTACAGGGAGCATCACTGATAAGAACAGGATATCAATCTAAAGCCACAGGGTCTGTCAATCTACCCTGACCTGATCCTGTAGGGAAATGAAAAACAACTAAAAGAAGTTTGCTGGCTGGTGATGAGTCTTCTGCATGCAGGAGCGGCTTCATTCTCTCCACGGCCCAGGCTTGCGGGGTGCCACCTGAAAGCCCCGCTGTTTGCCTTGCTTTCCACCCTTCGTGCCACCGGCCTCCAGTCCACTCGAGTATTCCGAGTGCAGGACTTCAGCGAGCACAAGGCGGTGCTTTTTCTGGCTCTTCCTCCGAGGGTCAGGCCTGAGGAAAAGTAACGGCAGAGAGCAAGACTTTAGTGTCTTTCTTCCCCATTTGGAGAGAGGCTGACAGCAGCTGGCTATGAGACCAGGAGGCTGACATTTTTGTATTAGCAGAAAAGCAATCTCTTCAGTAGCACTTGTTTTGATATTCTATGCACCAGAAGATTAGATACGGTGCTGACAGATTTTCATAACGGTGGCAAAATATCATGGCATTTTTAAAAGTGAGGCTTTGTTCTGTGTTGTTTTCATGGGATGGGGCGGGGGAGAAACGTACACATTCTCACACTCTGATGGCAAATGAGGTGCATGAGACAGCAGTTTGCCCGTGGATGGGAACGCCCACAGTGCAATACAGTTAGCTGCAAAGCTTCCAAGCGCAGGGCCTCAGAGATGAACCCTTGAGGTCTAGCAGACTGTAGGCACAGTGCCCTGCTAGGCAGGTCTCGAAGGCAGGGTGTCTATGCAGACTCCCCAGCCCTCACTAGAGAGCAGAAAACACCCTGATCCTGCAAATCCCAAGCCCAAGTGAAAGAAGGCATTCCTTGTCTTGACCCACCACTCGATCAGAAGAAACTTGTAAAATTCAACCATACACTGATGAGTGAGAATGGAATCCTAAGATGACCAATAAGTTCATACTGGCTTGCCGGGCGGTGGTGGCGCACGCCTTTAATCCCAGCACTCGGGAGGCAGAGGCAGGCGGATCTCTGTGAGTTCGAGGCCAGCCTGGTCTACAAGAGCTAGTGCCAGGACAGGCTCCAAAGCTACAGAGAAACCCTGTCTCGAAAAACTAAAAAAAAAAAAAAAAAAAAAGTTCATACTGGCTTTTCTTTAGCACCCTCATGACCAACCCAGGAACTCAATGTAAGGAGCTCAAGAAAAGCCACTGGCTGCTCTCTGACTTGACAGCATGTTGTGTGGTTAGTCAGAGACTAAACACAATAAACAAATTCCTTTAAAATCCAAGAATTAGACACAGCCATACTGTGCTATCAGCCTTAGTAGGAAGGTTGAAGATCCCACCACAATGAAGGTAAAGACATTTATAATCCCAACCAGAGCACAGGGCTGTAGTGATAAGATCCAGTTTCTCTCTCTCTCTCTCTCTCTCTCTTTTATGTATGCTGGTGTTTTGCCTGCATATACTCTATGTGAGGGTGTTGGATTCCCTAGAACTAGAATTATAGACAGCTGTGAGCTATCATGTGGGTGCTGGGAACTAAACCCAGGTCCCCTGGAAGAACAGCCAACGCTCTTAAACCGCTGAGCCATCTCTCCAGCAACCCCCCCCCCCCAGTTTTGTTCTTGCGAGAGGAAGAGTCAACCTTGCCAGAGAAAAAGATTTGAGGGAAGGGCATGTTAGCAATGATATTTCGGGCTGGAAGTTTATTCAGTTAAGTGTGTTGGGGCAGGGCTCGAGAGCACTAGTATCACACAGGGAAACAGTCCCTGCATTCGTGTTATCCTTAAGTAAGCACCACGGGATGGAGGGGGAGAACTTGTTAAGGCCATGTAGCTGGCAGACATAGGTATGAAGCCCCAGCTTTCTGTAGACTGAAAACTGCTGCCAGGTCTGCTTGGGGGTAGAAGCAGTACTGTTGACCCTGGACTTCTCTTCCACATCTGCGCACGTAGACAGGCTGTGGTGGTTGGACACTGACTTGCTCCACAGCAAAGGCTGCAACTTCCTGTACTAGTGTTTATTTTTAGTCAGGTTACATGACAGACAGAGCAAAAGGTTCTGACAGGAAGGGATGCCTTTTCTTCCCTCTGAAGTAGGTGCTCACAATGCGTATAATTTTAAATGTAACAATTTGAGTTTCAAGATATGAAGAATTTCAGTCAAAATATTCTCTCCAGCAGAAGTACTTGCTCCTGCCGTCATTGTAGACAACAGTAACCAGAGTCTCATCTGGTGTCTGATATAGGAACTACCTACAGAGCGAGTGCAGCCTGTGGGAAGCAGCTCAGAGTATCATACCCATGCCTTCAGCTGCCCAATGCAGACACCTCCATAGACAACACACCCCACAGGGGCCCCTTGTAGTGAGAATACAGGTCTGTTCACAGGTAGAGAGCTGGATGGGGCAGTAGGGGCACTGGGGTCACTGCTAGACCTACTCTAGAAAGTGTGCCTCAGGGTTGGGGTGGCTCAGTGGCAGTGTATGCTTGATAGCAGA